TTTGGACCTGGGTTCCCTATGCTGCGAAGCTTCTCGGCCAAGGAAGATTGATGACAAGGACCTTCCCCCAGAGCTGACACAGAGAGAAAGCCTTGCCCTGGAGCTGACACCCTCAGTTGGGACTTGTAGTCTACTAGACTGTGAGAGAATAAACATCTGTTTGTCAAAGTCATCCACTTGTGGTATTTCTGTTACAGCAACATTAGATAACTAAGAAAGAGGCTGTAAAAACAGCTTAGGGGAAGTATCTGACCTCCTCTAATTTCACAAGGGGGAAGGAGAATCAAGATCAACTGTCCAAGACTGATTCCTGTGAGACGGAGATCAGACACGCCTCTTCTCTCCTCCATCTTTACCAACTCTGACACCAACCGTCCCTCCCACGGCACTCTCTACTTCTCTGCTGAGTTCAATAATTCATTGCAATGGCTACACACAACTCACAGACCATACTAAAGATTATGGGGTTTATTAGGGAAGTAACAGGTTACAATTCAGGCTCAGGAACACTCAGGATATAGTTCTTCTATCAGAACAACCTCTTTTCAGCTGTGCTCACAGGTATATCTCTCTCTCTGGCCCTAGACCTCTGCCCAAAGGCAATCAGCTTTCTTGCTCCGTGGGCTGGGAAGCCCACCACACTGTCTCCTGCTGCCGGGTCTCTTCTGCCTCCGCTTCTCACCGTCTTCAGGGTTACAGCTTGCTCTCTGTCTCTTGGGTCCAGGAGCTTCTCAATGCAGGGATCTTGGGTCCAAAGGGTGCACTGGCTCTTATTCCTTGGTGGTGATGGAATCCTCTCTTTCCTGCCTCTGGGGTGGCTCATTTCAAGCCTAGCGGGTTGGCAAAATTGAGCAATCCCTTTGGTGGGCCAGAATTACCCTATCACACAGTCCTGCACAATCACTTGGGTGGGAGTTACAAGACCATGGCTGGGAAGGCCACACAAAAGTGATCCATCGCAACATAGAGGCTATTGAAAATACTATGGTTTGAGTCAGGAGCATGTTAGTCCTCAAAGTGACATCTTTGCTTTTCAATACTTTAAAGAAATCTTTTGCAGCAGATTTGCCCAATGCAATATGTCTTATTTCTTGACTTCTGCTTCTACAGGCATTGTTGTGAATCCAAGTAAAATAGAATTCTTGACAATTTCAGTATTTTCTCCATTTATCATGATGTTGCTTATTGGTCCAGTTGTGAGGATTTTCATTTTCTTTATGTTGAGGTGCAATCCATACCGAAGGTATAGTCTTTGATCTTCATCAGTCAGTGCTTCTAGTCCTCTTCATTTTCAGCAAGCAAG